AAACACACTCATTAGCCTTAGAGATGATAAAAAATAAAGTCGAGAAAAATTTGGAAGCAGAAGGAGTAAAAGAAATTAAAGTCAAAGTATCCGAAGCCAGAGCCGACGGTTATTATCACGAGATTGTGGCTACCGAAGAAAATTCCGAACTAGCCCCTAACACCATTCTAGAAGTAATAAAAAAAGGTTATTTACTTCGCGACCAGGTCCTTAAAGCCAGTCAAGTAAAAATAAGTAAAAAAAAACATCTAGTTGACTAAGGTTGTGTTGAGTAATAAGGATTTCATACAGCAAAACCCTCGTATTACTGACTAAAAAAAAGTTTAAACGGATTAGAAAACAAGAGCCGCCCATAGCCAGAATCCGAAACAATTAATTAATGAAGTAGTGGAAAATATGTCCTTATTAATTATTATGGTGTCTAAATTAGATACTTTTAATAATTTTGATACTGCGATTTAAAAATCACAATTAAATTGACACTAGTTGCGAGTATTGTAAATTTTTTTTTATAACGTTAATAAAAAGCGACGGTGTTTTGTCAAACAAGCAAAATTATTTACCTCTACTTCTTTTTTTGTTGAGACTTGCCTAGAAAATAAGAACTAATTCCTACTACCAATATTGCTATAACACCAATCACTAGTCCTATTTTTTGATTTCTTTCCAAATTTTTAATTTTTTCTTCGGCTTCTGCGTATTTTTGAAGTATAAAAGACACCTGATTAATCCCTATTTCTTTCAAATTCGAAAAAGGTGCGAATATTTTTATTTCTTCTTCAATAGGAGGAAGAGTACCGTTTTCAACTATATTTAACCTAATTAACTCTTCTGGATTAGGTAATATGTGGCTGAGAAGTCAAGATTGTTAAATAAATTGTAAGAACAATTAATTTCTTTTAAGTTTGAGCAATTACTGATATTTAAATTGGTGAATTCATTGTGAGAACAATCTAATTTCTCTAAATTAATGAAATCAGACAAATCCAAAACACCTTCGATTTCTTTGTGAACAACATCTAATTCCTCGATCTCTCTCCTATTTTCTCTAAGATATTCTTTGTCTAGCCATCTTGAGCATTTGCCACGATATTTCTAGTTTTTTTATTATACATTATACAAATTTTTCTGGAAGAAAAATTTTCCTAATCAAACAAACCAACTCCAAAGAATTCAAACAATTTCCCCACACTCATTACAAGCCAATATTCAACTAATTAAAAAAGTTTAGGAAGAAGACCCTATCGACCCCCTTTCAAAAAAAACAATAAACTGCTCCTAAAACTAATCTCCATTCATTTTCAACAGTAATTTCGTTTGATTACTAGATAATTCTTAATGTTGAAGGAATAAAGACTATTTGTAAAAAAGTACTTAAAAGTTCTTAAAAATAACAAACGTTCCAAATTTTTCAAATTTATTTTCTTTGTTAATCAGAAAAATAATTTAAAAAATAGCCAGTGAAAAATGAACGTACTAGAAGCCAAATTCACCCGAAGCAGCAATAGCCAAAAAATTAAGAAATTATTTTCTCAATTTAGCAAGGAAGAGTTAATGGAAAAAAAAGAAATAGTATGTATTGCGGGGAGAATGACCAGAAAAAGAATGTTTTTTGCTGATTTAACCGACCAAAGCGGAACCATTCAATTAAAATTTAGTAGCAAAAGTGAGGATTTGGCCAAATTAGATAACGGCAGTATTATTGGGGTAAAAGGGATTATTTGTAGAACCGATAAAGGACAGTTAAGCGTAGAAGTAAAAGAGCTCGTTTTATTAAGCCGATGTTCAAGACCCATCCCCAGTTTCTACTACGGATTTAGTGATAACGAGGAAAGATTTCGTAATCGACCTTTAGATTTTATTATTAACCGACAAAAGAAGGAGATTTTTTTCCTTCGTCACCAAGTAATCAAAAATATCCGCCAGTTTTTAGAGGAAAAAGAATTTATTGAAATTGAGACTCCCATTCTGGTTTCGGAGGCTTCCGGAGCGCAGGCTAAGCCTTTCATTACTCACCACAACAAATTACACCGGGATTTTTATTTGCGGATTGCCACAGAAATACCCCTCAAAAAATTGCTAGTGGGCGGCTTCGAAAAAATTTATGAAATCGGTCGCATCTTTCGTAATGAGGGCATAGATGCTCGGCACAATCCTGAATTTACTACTATTGAAGTTTACCAGGCTTATGAAAATGCGGAATATATGATGGATTTGACTGAGGAATTGTTGTATTATTTGACCCAAGAAGTTCTTAAAAAAGAGGAATTTGAATTTAATTCTCATAATGTTTCGTTAACAAAGCCTTTTCGCAGGTTGTCAATGATAGAAGCGATTAAAGAACATGCAAATATAGATTTCGCTAAAATAAATGGTTTAGAAGAAGCCTGCCAACTGACCCAAAAATATAATTTAAAACTAGAAAAATTTCAAAAAACTATCGGTCATGTCATTTTAGCCTTTTTTGAGGAATATGTGGAGAAAAAATTAATTCAACCGACTTTTATTTATGATTATCCAATAGAAGTTTCTCCGCTAGCCAAAAGCAAGCCGGAAAATGAAAAAATTGCCGACCGATTCGAACTTTATATTGGTGGACTAGAATTTGCTAATGGATATAGTGAATTAAATGACCCCCATGAGCAGAGAAAAAGATTTGAAGAACAAACTAAACAAAAAGAATTGGGAAACGAAGAAATTGCCAGTTTTGATAAGGAATTTTTGGAGGCCTTGGAGTATGGTATGCCACCAGCAGGGGGATTAGGTATTGGAATAGACAGATTGATAATGTTGTTTACCGGTCAAAATAGTATTAAAGAAGTGATTGCTTTTCCGCAGTTGAAAATAAAAAATGAAAATAATTAACTTTAACCCATTTTTTTTAACTGGTTATAAAGAGTATAATCAATTTTATCTCTTTTGCTTTCTATCTCTTTTTTTACCGCTTCTTGCTTATCAAGTTCAATTTTGATTTCATTAACAATTTTTTCTTGCTCTTTTTCGTATTTTGCCCTCCTCTCGCCCAGAAAGTCGTTATAGAGTTTACGGCAGGTTTCCAGAGTTTTTTCTAATTTTTCTTTTTGCTCTTGTTAGGATACAAGCGGTATTTAAATGTTTTAGGCATGATTTTCTCCTTGGCTTTGAATATACTGCCGAATGATTTTGATTGGAGCACCACCAGTAGTTAACAAGCAATAACTTTTACTTCAAAAATACTCTCTTCATAATTGCTTCTTAATGGTTGGATATTCTTTCTTAATCAACCGCGACGAAGCTGATTTGTAAGCGTTTATGAATTGCTTATTTGGCTCTTAGGGTGAGCTCTTAGGGTGAGCCTTGAAAAGAACATGAATGTGGTCAATATCATGGTTTCATTCTTGGCAGGAAATATGGTAATTAGGAGTAATATACTCAAAAATTTGTTTTAGCCGCTTTGATATGTCTTCGTTGATTACTTTTCGCCGATACTTAATCACAAACACCGAATGATACCACAGCAAAAAAACCGAGTGATTATTGCTATCTAATTCCATGTTTTTTATTTTACACTGAATTAGTTAGGAAAGGCCGTAGCCATTCATCCACCACTTAAAGAAGTGGGAGTCTTCTGGCTAGATTAGGATAAATTAACTGTTGTTTGATTGCAATTTTTCTAGTCAATTGATTAAACTTTGTCGACAACTTTCTTGGTCTTTTAAGAGGACTAAAGATTTTTCGGTGGATTGGGGATTTTTTCATTGTTCTTCGCTGATAACCACGATATTTTTCTTTTCCCCAAAAAGTTTTTGACAAATTTTTTGCTTGTCTAGTTGGTATTTTTTGGCTAAAAAAGTAACGGTATCGATGGTTTCAACTTTTAATAAAATTAAGTCTTGTTCTACCAGCAACAGTTCAGTATCAGAAAAAAAACACGGCCTTTTTTTAATTTCCTTCTGCCAGTTATTTTTTTCCCGAACAAAGTTTTTTTCATTTAAATTTTTTTCTTTTATTCAAGTAAAAATTTTTTCGTTCCGAATATGGTCGAGATAGAAATCTTCCTTTAACATTTCTTTTGAAAATTACAACTTTTTAAATCATTTTTGCTAAATACTAGCAATCAATTCCCAAAGTTTCTCCTGAGTTTGGGGTGAAAACAATTCTTTTTTCTCCTTAATAATTAATTGGTTGATAGTTGCAGGTCGAGTTTTCTCCTGGCCAGCCGCAATTTTTTCCAGCAATAATTTACTGTTTCGGAAAAAATTGGTTAAGACTTTGTGGTTAAAATTAGTAGCTTTATCTCACGGAAAAATCTTTCCCTCGCGCGGGCAAATAAATTTGTCATTTTCTCGCTGAGATTTTTCTTGATTGAATACCTTCTCACAACCCGGACAAATTAAATATTCCTTCTGAATTTCATCTAACAAATCATAGTTTTCCAAGTTAAAAAGGATAACGTTAGTGATTCAAAGATCAATTTTGGTTAGTTCGTTTTGTAATTCGGCTAACTGTGCTTCGCTCTGGGGATAATTCAACAGAACTACTTTTTCCGCTCTTTGGGTGGCAGACGATAGAAACTGACTAATTGTTTTGCCCTCCTTGACCGAAAAAAAACTAATCCTGGCTTGAGACTGAAAATCAAAGTCATTAACCAGTGGGGGATAAAATAGGCAAACTACTTTATTTAAACCATTCATATTATTTATTTACCTGTATATATTTATATTTAGTTATTATTTGTTTAATAAGGGAGGCACCAACATTCACGCTACTAAACCAACTAACGAAACTTAATGAATTATTAGTTATAAGGTTGTCAAAAGCAAAATTAAAGAGTAAAATCATAATAAACCAACTGGTAATTAGTCAATTAATTATTTTTTGTAAAAATTTTTTGGTTGGGCGACCCGGTGGAATGCCATCAAAGTATATACCGAAACGACGTAAGTGTTGGCTGATTTCTCGGGCGTTCCAGTGCGTTTGACTAACCAGTAATCAATTAAAAAAGAAACGCAAAATTAGTCAGAACAAAAAAACTCCTAGAAACCTCCTTGATTTACTGACAATGAAAAAGTTACTAAGACGAAAAATCTTTTTTTCTTCGGAAAGAATCAAAAAAAATTCTCAGCCTGACTTTCGGCCCGCTTCCGCAATCGATTTTATTTTATTAGTTGCCACTTTGGGGTTATCCAAAAATGATCCGATTATTTTTTCCAATCAATTATCTCCTTTCTCAATCATTATCTTCACGTTATAAAAAAAGGACAATAGTGTAGACAAATAATAAAAAGGCATAAAACTCAGATTTAATTTCAAACCAAAAGGAGAGATGTTTTTCTTAGCAAGTTTGTTATCTTGATTATAAAGAATGTTGGTTTCGACTGGCTTTTCTCATTTCAAGTTAGTTAGATAAATAAAGAAAGCGGTAATAAGCAAACAACCAAACACTTCTCTTCCTCAAACTCAACTCCCTTTTTTCTCCCTAATCCACTGCGTAGGTAAATAGTCAATAAAAAATAACAAGTTAAAAGCGTCACAAATCCCGTATTGGTTCATCAACTGAATAAGAAAGTCGATTAAGCAACAATTAATCACCACAGAAGTTAACACTACTAAAATAATATTTTCTCAGTTATAACTAGGGTGAGAAAAAAGCTGTTGACGATAAATTCCCAATGTCGATACTACCGTTACTAAAAATACTAATATTTTATTAGTTCAATATTTTCAACGCCGCACCTGACGTGGGTCGGACTTTTCCTTAGTCAAGTTAAAAAACAGGAAAATTAATCCCAAGAAAAAACTGACAGAAGAATGAATATTAATTCCTAAAAGGAAGAATCGATTAGGGTCTTTCCTCTCCTGGGGGAAAAATCATTGGCTGGGGAAGGGAATGAGATTTTTCCCTAGCAAATAAAAAATTAAGCCTAGTAAACTACAACTGGCTGCGGTAAAAAAAGTCTTGTATTTTTGCCAAGTCCTTCTTCGTCTACTAGAACTAACCATAAAAAAATGTAAAAGTATTTTATTTACTTTATTTGATTATTTGTGGGCTCAATGTAAATTCTTTTTTTCTACCA